CCCATCATTCTTAACGTCTGGGCTGGGAGCAAATAAAAGTGTCGTCTTTTTCCGAAATAGTCTGACTTACACTTGACTCATTAATTGCAGTTTCTTTTATTAGTCTGTAGAGCTGTCTTGTGTTCCCTATAGTCGCCGCCTTTTCTATCTCTTTTGTTTTCGTTGCCCACCACTGCTCACGGTCGTTTCTTAGACTGTTGGTTAACCTAGACCTGATTTGTTTACGGTTTTCATCGACTTCAGAACCGTGATGGGATGAGTTTGCGAGAATCCATCAGTGCAATAGACCTTGACGAAATCCATTGATTCTTTGTAGCCCTGTGGTTTAAATCACTGATAGATGTCACTGCTGTTTCCACAGCTACTTGTATATCTTTTCAAGAAACATCTGGGTCAGCCTCGTTTTCAGAACTACCTAAGTGTGACCTCAGTTGTTCCTAGATTTTACTTTTGGTTTTCTCGCTACTCAATTCAGCTCTGGGTCTTTTTAGTGTGGATTTTTTGCGCCCAGTGAGGCACAAGCAGATGTGTGCCCGCATTAGTGCCTGGTCGGAGTCCAGGCAGGCACTCCAGAATAAGCGACAATCCTATACCGACCCTCTCCAACGATGACTGATGGCATTATGTTCTATTTGAGTCCATCGTTGGTTTGGTGTAGGGGGCCGCCATGTTAGACGATGTCTCTCCTCATGCTTAAAATTTGTGTTTGCTAAAAATAAACGATTGTCTGAGCACAGTTGCAGCAGACGATCGTCATATGTTTGCTGAGCCATGATACTAAAATAACCACCTGAATTGTAGAAATGACGAAAAGACAACGACGTATGTCCCTATCTTTCCGAGTTCTTACGGAGCCGCTTAGCCGAACAGCACATAAACGACTGTTAACGGGAATCCACTCTAATAGTGCTTGTTCCGCCTTCATGCTTAGTGCTATGCCCACACGTGCCAGTCCACGAGAATTGGCCGTCGGGTCACTAGATACAAAGGGTGTACCTCGTTGGCTCTACGTTTTGCCGAGTTGAGGTCGAGTGACCACACTAGGGTCCTGTATGCGTGTTTCGGAGACACAGCATACATTAATGGTACGAGATTCTAGGGTTCTAGCCAAGGAAGCCTGCTGAATGATTTGACATAGGGTGCGTACGTTGAAGGCTCCAATGTGTAGTTTGGAGCGAGGTTTCAGTAGACCTGGGACAAGGTTTTGAGCACTAGAATCGTTGGCTATGGTGACACTTGAGGGGAAGCCGAAAGAGGAAGTTTAGAGGTGAAAGTCGATGTAGGAGGAATAATAGGAATTGAAAAGGGAGGTTGATTATGAATACAGTGGTCTTGAGTGCTGTTAGAGGTATAAGGGCGGTTATCACTTCCCGGTTGCCCACACCGTGGAAGGGTTTTTTCGGAGGTATCTGGAAAGGAAATTAGATTAGAGGTGGTCATATTAACCGGAGAGCGTGACCGCAGTCCCCAAGGTACAACTGCTTGAGGTCGGTCACACACGACCTTTTTATGAGTAATTTTTGTGTTAGCTCCGTACTTGTTGAGACCTTACCGCCGGAGACGGATATCCGTGGGATAAGGCGAGGTGTGCATTTTTAGGGTCGACCGTTTCCACCCCCACCCCTCCTTGTGGGAAGGCAGCATCGCTGTCATGCTGGTTGTCTGAAGGAAACACCTTACTGCTGTCACACCTCTACAGTCAGCAGTACGACTTCGCCTTCGGACCTTGAGTTTGTTGCTTTTAGTCTTACCTCTCTTCAACCCACCTGTCTGGCATGGTAGGACGTTGAGGAACGGTTGTTCTAGCCAGTATAGCTCGGTTGCTTCATCACGATAGGCAAGCCCAACCACCACGTCACGGTAGCAATAACGGTTGGGTCACTGATGTATTCGGTTAGCCTCAACTTATCGATTATAAAATATGAGGTGTCCTAGCCATGACATTCATCTGAATTGTTTTAATTCTGGTATATAATTTAGTTCACTATCCCTCACTTTTATCGTACATACCATTTAGTAATGTTGAGAGCGGTAAGGTTTTCAGTTATATGACCATCATTTTGGTTCTTTATTTTAAGAAATTGTAGTTAGGAAAGCTTTTATCCTGAAACTTCACGTATCATCATTTCATATGGCTTTCTGTTTACAGTCGTAAAGTTCTTTCCAGGAAATCAGTCAGTCAGCTACAACGTAGGACCAGGCACATATATGCATCGGTCCAAGTTGCCATACCTCATTAACACAACAAGATGGACACCGGATTCATAAAAGTAGTTAATTCAGAGGTGGTAATATATAAAAGAAAGATTGCAATAAGGATATAGTACAGGAAGAAAGAATTAATTCCTAGAAAGAAAGATATGAAGTGATTTTAATCTCTCAGTTTACGGGAAGACAAAGAGTGTATACACCTACGCCATTGTGATCGATTCTGAGCCATGTCACCAAGAGTCTCCAACCATTGGTTACGATATTCGCGCGGACCCCAACCAAGTAGTCTGCATCTACCAACATGGCTCAGACTAGAAGTTAGTGACTTCAAGCATTGATGCCACGTTTTGCTTTGGCCGCCCCTAACTTTCTTCCAACCATCCCCAACACCGGTTAGCATTGCACGTCGTGGTAATTGTCAGACACCAACTCATTATGGCTGATCAGACTCCTAAGATAAGTGAAGTTGTCAACGCGTTTGACTACTTCACTGCCTATTCTTAGTTCAGGTGTTGACGCAGGCCAGTCCTGAAGCAACAGTTCCAGGAAATACGAAACCTCGAATTCAGTATTTGGATAGCCTACGTATAACTAGTGCCAAACAGATGTGATTTATACTGTAGAGTACTAACCTTACTTCTATTTGAATACTATAGTATTTCAAATCCGATAGTGCTTATTAAAATCACCGATCCGTCAAGTACCTCCAAAAATATAGTGACCCGTCTTAGTCACCGTATATGCTAACAACCAGTCTTATGTACTGGTGTATTGCATAGCAAAATGAATTCATCTAGTAGCTCAGTGGGTGAGTTGTTAGGCTTCTAACAACTACGGTCTAGATGCGAACCTCGCTTTAACTGGTTCGCTTTGAGCAGCCGGGTAATATCATTATCCTCCACACTTACTGTGGGGCTCACACTTGAGCTTATTCATTTTATTGTTTTATTTTGTATATTAATAAGACGTGATATCTTCAACATAAAACCTACTATATGTTCCGTACGAGGTTATTGAATTCGATTTTTTTAATATTTGATAATAATCTTGTTTGTATTCAATTATAAATTGTTATTATGTCAATTCGGATTTTGTGAACATTTCACAATATTCGAATGGTTCTCATTCGAAATATAAAATGTATAATGGTTAATTTTGCTTTCTAGTTAAGTGTTTTAGGTATGAAAGGAAATACGATAAAGGAGATTTCAAGCGCTGTTAAACTGGAGCTCATGACAATGTTTAGATGTAATACGGTTGTAAAAATAACTGCTGAGTTATCCAAAATCGACTCGAACATAAAAAAGAAGCTTTGCCGCGCCCAAGATTTTTCCGAGGTTTTTCCAGTAAATGACAGACGGGAGTAGTTTATTTTGGAGTTTTATTTGTAAATACTTTGTTTTCCTAATTCTTTTTAACTACGTTATTTCACTTTGTACAACAGTAAAAATCAATGGATTTGATGAGATTGATTAAAACAGTTTTCGCATTGTAATTCGTACAGTATTGGAATTTAGTTTCCGTATCGTAGGGTTACTTACTTATTACAGTACAACGCCATCTTGTCTGTAAAATTTTTTAAAGCTTTATAATATTTAAACATCAAGTCATGCAATTATGTTAGCGCCAGGATTAGTTGGTTGAGTCATAAAAGTGAACGTGTTGTCACACTATGTGTCACATTCATCTGAATAACTTTCAGAATCAAATAAAGTCGAAAGACTGTTGACCTCTCGAATTATCTATGTATAGACATATATAAATCATAAGTGGTTTCGCAATGGATATTAATTAGCTTCAGTGAAAACTCACATTCAAGGTGATACACAACGGATATACTTACCACTAGAAATATATCAACTAATAAAAGAACATTTAGTTTGCCAACCGATGAATACAAGAAATCACTGAAAAATTATGCGATTAAGAACTATTTTTTCGTGAATAATACAGTTGCAATATATGAACCTTACTGGGACTGGACTGGAAATATCTGTAATGACTAAGGTATGCGTTGTAGTCGCCCAGCTTTAAGTAGATTTGTAGTAATAATTCATACACATGTAGTTTCTGTTTGTTGGTTCGCCACCATAGTTTGGGTTGATGTTGTTTATTTCGTGGTGTAGAGACAGTTTTGTCGCGAAGTGATTTTTTTTCTTGAAAAACGATTTATCGCCACCTGGCTTTTCTTCAGTCACGTAGAGGCTAACTTAACTCCAAAAGCATGGAAAAATAGTCATGACTCTACGCGACATGTTTCCGCGCTACACAAATAAATCACAGATATATGAACGAAGAATATTTTTGTAGTATCAGCGAAATGTCACTGAGTCCTCTCCAAATCATTCGGCAGTTGGATCACCGAATGTTGGACAATTCACTGACCCTCGTCAGGGTCAAGGACAACGAACGCGCGTCAGTTAATCGCACGCCACGGACAGTCCCGTGAGGTTGTGGTCGCACTGTTTCCTGAACCGACATTTGCTAATATTTCTGCAATAACGTCATTTGTGTTTTACGATCATCAAAGTAACTGTAGTACCTGGACACGACGGAGGGGGGATCTACGTTAGGTGCTGACCGTAAGGTGTGACTTCGAAGTTAGCTGTTGGTCACACCATTTCCGTCTAACTTGAGTAGGCCCCCAATCACTCGACATAGATCATCTACGTTGGTGATCTACACTGGCGAGCCTGATGTGAACAAGACTTCAAAAAACGCAACCTATTATTATAATTTTTGATTGTATTCTGTAATTATTCTCTTTAATTTCTATCGCCACAAGTTAGTCAATTACTGTGAACATTCGTTGCTTTATATCAATGTTGATTAGTAAGTAACTAGTTCAATCGATAAAACTAACCATTAAACTACGATTATAATCAGCTATCGTAGTTCATCAAAAAGCATCAGCAGAATATAAGTGCTCCTGTGTAATATGTCTGCTAAAATATCAACCACTCGTAAATATAGCTACAAGGCACCACGAACGCACATCTGTTTGTAACTTCTTCACTTGTATAAGCAAGACAGGATTAAATATCGATTGTAAGTTCCTTTTCCTGCTTAATCACTATAAACTATTTCCCGTCAGAAACTATTCACTAACATGTTTTTCTTACATCACCATTGCGTGCCTTATTTCCTATTGCTGAGTTCTATGGTCAAACAGAAGATACGAATGCCAGAAATTTACGATGAGTTTGTACTATGAATTTTCTGAAATCTTAAGTTTTGTTTAGATTGTTCGTCAGGTAGTGCTACATATTTGGCTTTAATTAGTTTTCGACCTATACAAATTCAGTCCACAACGCTTTGCTGAACACTAGGTGATCTATATTCATTTCAATAAATTCTCTTCGAATCTACAATTATACATTCAAGTTAACAATCTAAGAAATCGGCCAGGTTTAAGGCAAAGTACATTATTTAAAATTATGGCACGACCTAATTAGTTAATAATTATTTTTATGATATGGTCACGTAGTTTGATTAGTGTTTATTTTCGTAGCTTAGATCTTATCATTATGAGTAGTAGTGGTAGTATTAGAAGTCGTAGTAATAGTAGTAGTACACGTATTTGTAATGTTAGTAGTAGTGGTGGTCGTATTTCTACTTCCAGTCGTGTTCGTAGCTGTGGTCCCTTTCCTAGTGGTGGTGGTTGCAGTCGTATTTGAAGTAGAAGTGGTAGTAATCTTATTAATGGTAGTCGCGATAGTATGAGTCGTAGCAGTAGTCTTCGCAGTAATAGTAGTAGTATCTGTCATAGTATAAGAAGCCGTAGTTATAGTAGCAGCCTTATTAGTAATAGTATAGTTCTATTAGTCGTAGCAGTAGCAATCATAGTAGCATTCATCGTATTAATAGTAGTCGTAGTAGAATTCGTCATCGAAGTAGTAGTACCAGCAGGATTCGTAAACTCAGTAGAAGTAATAATAGTGGCACAATTCGCAGTAGTAGGAGTATTACTGGAATTCCTAGTTGTAATCGTAGAAGTAATAGTCGTAGGCGTATTGTATCATTTGTAACAATTTGATCTTGCCTGTAAACTGGCATGCCTCATGTAACAAACTGTTATTTGAAAATAAATACTTATTATATACAGCGACAAACAGGAAACGCGGGATTTCATCAGGTTTTATATTCAGCGACTACAAACATTAGTCTGAGATGGTCCACACGTATATGAGAGTGATAAAATAAATCACTGACCGTAATTTTCAAGTAAACAGAATTTATTATACTCGCTGTCCAGCCAAGTCGATTACGAAATTACCACTGAGAAGTACAAGTTAAGATGAATGATTTCCTCTGCTTATAACAAGCGATATAGGAGGCTCGGTATCCATCCTTAGATTATTAGTCATCGAACACATAACTGACAAATTCACACTTGCCATGACTTACATATTTTTGCTCCTAATGTATTGTTAAACCTGACTCAAACATAACCAATCGAAACATTTACATTATTGACAGACCACACAAAACGAATCATGGGGCACTAACGGGATATAAATAACGGAATTACCCGGTAGACTGGCATGTGACCAATATTGAGTTTGAGCCCTTTTAATTTGAGGGAAGTAGCAGGACAAATGCCAAGTGGTTTTATCGCTTCACCTTAGTAAGTTAATCTAGAACGTATTTTAAATGAGGTGATCTCAATACAAACCAGTCCTCGCACATAACCAGATTCTCACAAATAGTGGAATTGCCGAAGTTATCTTTGTAGAAAATTCCTATCATATTAAGACGCAGATATACGAACGAAGAATAAACGTTTCAATAAATTCTCTTCAGGTTCCACAATTATATATACAAATTAATATCCATAAAATTGACCAGGCCTAAGGCATTGTACATCATTTAAAATTATAGCATGTTGATTTAAGATTGTTTTTAATATCAAACAAATTCGTCCATGTCAGGATGACTAATATAAAGTGTTGATTTGGATAAATTTATACGTTAGATGAAACTCTGAAATAAATGCTCAAAATAAATAGGAATAATAAGACTACGACTAATAATACAACGTTTATTACTACTAATAATGCCAATACTTCGTCTGTTATTAATAAAACCGCTACTAATACGACTACAATTACTAGGACAACTGCAAGCACTACCACTATGGATACTACGACTAAGGTTCCTACTAACGTTATAATTATTATTACAAATATATGGCAATACTGTTCAACAAAGAAGCTGCAGAAGGATTTTCATCGTTCTCTTTCCGTTACAACATGTATTTGGAGTTTGGCAACGCTTATGCCAGTAACACTTCCTACCATTAATCGTACCCACCAAGTGAAATCAAAAGACAGAAGCAAGGAGGTTCGAAGATATATTTGATAGGCTATCAATATATTGAGGATCGTCTGATCTAATCTGGCTAGCGCTTGCAAGGGTTGTTTAGCACGGCGTTCCCACTCGTGATCTGGTGCGGATGCATGACCGAGAGCCTTTCGCTAGGTGAGTCCATTAAAACGAATATGGTCAGCATCTAATGTCGAAGACTTACAGAGCTATTTATTTCGGGGATTTATTTACCGCCACATTACGGTCCTCTGTGGCACCAATCTACAAAGTTAGAGAACTGATTCGCTTAATGACTGACTGAGAAATAGACAGTAGACTTCCAGAACTGATGGTTTGACAAAGATCCTGACTCTGTTAGATGCTAACCACTCCCTCAAACGAAGGCTCTCAGTTAGTCACCTGACAGTCCGCGCTTAGCTTTCCTCATGCAACTAGCTATTTACTTAAGTGCATTATCGGTATGCGGTTGACCAAAGTGTTTCTTATGACTATTGACACCTACTTCCTTTTTGTTCCGAGTACGTTTAAACAGAGTAAAATCCAGGAACACACACATGATGCAACACTACCATGATCTTTGTAAGGGAGGGAAATTACATTAAGTTCATCAGATCATAACTAAGGGCAGGTATTTCATAGATCAATCTCCAAGTTAACTGTTACACACCTACCCGAAGTAGACCCCACGTACTTGTTTAGTCAGAAATCAAGATAATATGTACTACAGGATATCATACTACTTCAAACGTAATGAAAGATTGCTAAGATCTGTTAACTGGTAAAAGACAGGATCTGACTGTCTGCTTGGGAGGATTGCCGGAATCCCTTCAGGTAGATATTTGATCCCATCTTGTTGGGAATATTTGTATTAATTCTCAGGTGTCGAACCCTTTATTATTAACCTTTTCTTTTATTGTTTAGCGCGCTAATTTGCGTTAGAGAAACTTCTGATTGTATAGCAGAGGCTGTACTGTTTGAGGTATTTTGTATCTTTGATGTGATTTGTTCTGTTTTCTAAATTAGAACCGTTTATATTGAGCACGGAGTTTGTGTTTTGATATAATATAATACGAGTATCTCATAAACGCGTTGTGAGCTATACAGAGGGACGTGGTCTGGTCTAATCGAATAAATTTTGGTTCGTCAGTCCGTTGTTTCAACCGAATATTAGTTATTCGGTTGCTACACCTGTGGCGTTTTCATTGGTGAGCCCAACGTGTTCTGGTACACCAACTTACCAACTGTGAGTTTGTTCTTTTTGGAATTTCATAAATCATTGCTTTATTTTAATTTTTATAAATTGTGATATTTTTTCACGTCCATTCTTGTTTTCGATATTTCGCCATGACGGGTCAGACACGCAAGTTACTTGGGTGAACGTCCATGTCCTCACCTTCGATTCAATTAATGCCCTTCTGGCCAGACAATATCGAAGCCTGGTTCTACTACGCAGAGGCCGAAATCCACGAACACGGCGTGAACGACACACGTGCACAATTCCTCGCAGTAGCCAAGGCATTACCGCGCCAATTCAAGAGGTACGTAACACCTAGTATGTTTACTAGTGGTGTTTCTGAACCCTAGGAAACACTGAAGCGATCTATCCTTAAACGCGGAGACCTAACCGATAGACAGAGGTTAGACCAACTCCTTAATAACATCGATCTGCAACATGGTTGTGAGACAGACATGTTGCAAAGAATGGGAAAGGTTATCGGCCAAAGAACCTTCGATGATGACCTATTTAAAAAACTTTTCTTATCCAAGCTTCTTCAACAGGTGCAAGCTGTGCTAGTCTCGTTTCAAGACAACGCCGTAGACGAGCTGGCTGCATCTCCCGACCGCATCTTAGAAATCACCAAACCTCCTAACTTCGAGGTATTTTCAGCCCCAAACGACCCGGAATGACATAATAGAGTTATGTCACTCTTACACGTTATCTTAAATTTCGTAACGACCGTAGACGGTCACACACCCCGCGAAGAAGCACTTTACGTAAATGATCTGTCTCTAGATCACGATAGACGGATAACTCCGACTGGTGCTGATATCATAACCCTGCAATTTTCCGAACTCAAAATCGACCGACACGAAAAATAATTCGGGAAACTTCAAAGCCGACACGCGTTAACGGCAACCGTAGCCGGTAAACGCAACCGTCTGTTATACGTCACAGATGTGATGACGAGAGTTCGCTACCTCGTCGACACTGGCGCAGAAGTTAGCGTTCTATGAGTGAATTCTAACGACCGGCTTCACGAATCGGTTTTAAGCCTACAGGTGGCAAACGGAAAGCATATCGCTACGTATGGAGAAAGGTACGTTTACCTCAACATGGGTTTACGCGAACCCATACATTGGACCTCCTACAGAGCCACAATTTAATCATAGATACGCGCAAACAAAGGCTAGTAGACGGGAACAGTAATTTATTTCTTTGCGTAACTTCTTTTTCCGGTTGCACATTATCTCCGGTCACAACTAAGCACACGATAGACTCATTCTGTCAACCACTACTCGATAAGTATTCTGGGATATACCAGTCGCAACCGAAATCGCCGTGTGTAACCAGCAATCTCACACATCACATTACGACTTCAGGACCACCTGTGTTCTCGAGAGCGCGCCGAGTGCCTCCCGAAAAGTAGAAGTTGGCGGAAAACAAATTCGACCACATAATAGAGTTAGGAATCATTCGACCTTCAAACAGCTCATGAGCA